GCCCCAGGACCGAGCCCTGGGGGACTCCACTACCCACCTTGTTCAGGTTTTTTGGGGTTTTTTTGTTTTTTCCCATAGCAAAATTTGTGCTGCTGTACTACAGGAGCACTCTATCTCCCAGCCCACAACCCAAATGCAGCTCATGGGACTGGCCACAAATTGGGAAATTTGGCATTGGGGGGGGCAGTAGTGCCACTGCTTTCCCCCCAGCATTAATAGATTCATAGATGTTAAGGTCAGAAAGGACCTCAATAGATCATCAAGTCTGATAGTTAAGATGGGGTCCCCAGGTGAGAGGGAAGGGCACTGTCCACTTCATGTGTTTGAGCACGTAAAACTGGCAAAGTCAAAAAATCAAAAACTTGCTAGGAAATGTTCGGAGTGGTGTGGCTTAATTTTCCCCCACATTTAAGTGTATGTAGGGGTGTTAAATCATTTAAATTGCTGTAGTCATGTAGGGGGAGTATAATATAAAATTAGTACCAGATCTGCTTAAAAAATAAAGGGATTTGCACACTTGCAGACTGATTCTTGTAAGATGCTAATCTTCCGGTTTTTTGTTCTGGATTGGCGCTATCTTGCTCATCACCCTGGACGATCAATTACGTACTCCGTAGAATATATTTGGATCTTTCATAAATTGAATAATTTTCCTAGTTAGACCTGTCTAGATGTCTTCTCTTACAACACAAAGGGCTAGATAGTGCCTGCCTTCAAAACTGGAAGTAATGTTTAAAGACAAAATGCCCCATGATGATTTTGTACATTTTAAAGAGGGAAATCTGTTCACCTGCATTCAGGTTACCAAAGCATTAAGTAGTTAATCAAACAAGATACTGCTTCAGAACACGTTTCTCTAAAATATGTGCACAGAATTTGAGGCAAGCAAGGAACCACTCTAATAGTCAGTGGAAGGTGAGTTCATTGTACCCACTTACTTTTATTGGCAGAAAAAGTAAATTTATTATTCTATTTGAATCCAAGCTGCATGCAAGTAATTGAGAGTGTATTCCCAGCTAGCTTGGATACTAGCTAGCATTAGGGCAGGGGGCAGCACAGAGCACCCAGCTTCTTGGGTGAACTTTTGCCTGTAGTTCTATGGCTACTCTGCTAACTGTACCCAAAGCTTGCTAGTTTTAAAGGTAGTTCATGAGCTGCAATTGTTGCATTTTTGTAGACATAGCTTCTCCAGTGTATCTTGCATACTCAGGATCAGATTGACTTTCCTGTAATGGCTGCTTTCATTGCTTCTAGGCCAGAGGACAGAAACACAGGTAGCCTGGAATGCCTGTCTAACGTGATCACTGTCCTAGTTTGCATTATTCCAAACTCAATAAAGTAGAGTTTTAGGTAAGATTTGGGATTTAATTATCAAATGTTTTAAAATACTGGTTTGGTTTATTTGGAGAAGGGGGAAGAACTATGACACTTGACTACAAAGTTTTACATTATCTTATACAGTTAATGCTTCTAAGGCCTAATCCAAAATCCTTTACTATTAATGGAAAGATTTCAACAGGTTTCAGATGGCTTTGGATCAGGCTCATGAGACCATACTCTTCTGTGAGCAGAAACATAGGAGTTGGAGGGGTCATTTTACTGCATTTCTGCCAAATGTGTGTAGGGTAGAATGAGTCTAAGTGACTATGTAAGGATCAGACAAGTGTCACTTAAACATTCCTTCTTCCAAATATGTAACATATTGGTAGGATTATTTGCATGAAAACCTGACCTTGTTTAGAAATTCACCTGCTTGTCCTGCTAATCTTTCTGTTGAAGTCTTAATTCCCTGCTTGTATCATTACAATGAGTTGCTGCAGAGATGTTTTGTTCAAATGATCCTCTCTTACAATCTGTCCCTATCTATTTGTGCTACATATTCAAAATATAGAGCCAATGCAGTTCTAATTAGAAGTATGTTACTACAGATATAGTGTGAAAGATTTGGCATTTTTTATTTTAGAATAATAACAACAAAATGTATTAATGTGTTCTTTGATTTAAAAAAAATTTGTGGTAAATTATTTCTAATAATGGTAAGGATTGGTAGTGCCCTACTTCTGTTTAAGGTTTAATTAGCAGGTAAGTTTAATGTTGGAGGGTGGTGGTTGTCATCTCCAGATGTCTACATACATTTCTGAACAATTCTGCTTTGGCACTGGGACTGTTCTGCATCCAAAGGTGACTTTTTGAGATTTGATGGAGGTTTCTTATGACTTAATTATGGGTAGCTTAAATACTGTACTGAAAAATATGTATGGTAAGATTATTGTTTGTCTTGCTAATGACTTAATTGTGCGCCTCTCTCAATTTTACTTATGGTCTCTTCTACTTTTTCTTTCTGAATATGATTAGCAACACTACTCCACTATCCAAGTTATGGATTAAAGTGTAAGCATTCAGCAGTATTAGATATGGTACAGACCCCTGCTGTATTCTACTCAGTGCTGCCTCACAGTTTGACAGTTGGAGAGTAGTACATTATGGTACTAATAACTGGTTTGCTTTGCTGAATCCTTCACCTTAGATGAGATCTTGTCAGAAAGCAAATACTAAGAGGAGATTTATCCTAGGAGCCCTTAGATAGGAGAGCTGGAAGAAAAATCCAAAGACTGAAGGAAGGTGACCTTTTGTAACAATAGGTTACATCCGTCTTTCTGAGGTAGAAATGAACAAATATGTGCAGAATATTAATGGCATAAGACACCATCTTTCAGATAGGATGTAAAATCTGAGGTCCTGTCCACAGTAAAAGCCTTGTGGACTGTTTTGGAATACAGTGGCTGATTCCAAGAGTTTGACCAGCTTTATATTTACTTAAATTCTCCCTGTAGCTTCATTTGGTTATAGATCTCTTAATTTTTGTTCCTAAACTCATGATATCTGCTGTTCAGCAGCTAGAACACTTCCTTCTGGAAGCAGCTGCGTTCCAGTGACTGATAGAATAATATGTCTATCCCGTTGAGTAGGTGATCCTCAGATTTAAAAGGTCTGTTATCAATGCAACCTCTATTCACTGTAAGAACAACTGAAACAGTAAATGTTGCAATTTAAAATGGGATACTTAGTGCTTTAAGAGGATTGACACACCACTTCCATCAATATTAAGCAGAAGGGCTTTATTAAATTCAATAATGAGCTTGGTAAGAAAATGACAGGCTATTGCAATACACAAAGAAAGCAAGTTATAATCAAGTCCAGTGTAGCTTGAGCTGTAAGTGCTTTCTCACCAATCATGGGCAAGGAAGCAGTTCTGATAGTTGCAGTTTTCACAGGGTGTGGATCTGTTGCTGAGATGGTCAGCTGTGCGCAGGTTACGAGGTTCTCCCCTGGGGTGACTAGGCTGTGCTGGCAGCTGAACTCTTCTCTTGTACTTCGAAGCATATTTTCTTGATGGACTGATGACTACAGCCTGGACAAAGCCAATAGACTTTGGTGACTAGGCTGTGGAGGTCATTGTTCTTTGATTGCATTGTAGATGTTAACATTTCCAATCCATCCCTGGTGGTTGTTGGTAAAATGGACATGCACAAAATCCTTGACTGCCCTGCAGGTTTTATTTACTTAATTATAACAGGACTTGATTACTTGAGTTTAACACCTTTAATTAGATGGTAAGCCTCCAATTTACAGCAATGGGACTTGATTAATCAAATCATGTACCTCTGACCATGAGTGGGCACTATAGCATAATTGATCTTGAGTTGTTAGATATGGGGTGTATTCAATACTAGAAGCCAGAGATGGGATTTACTATGTTGTATTTCAGGTGGTCCCAATCATGAGCTTGCATTTCTGTGCAAAACGCACTTCTATTATGAGAGATCATTTACATGTTGCATGTAGGCTGGGACAAGCTCTGTGTCTAGCAGTAAATACTAAAGCGGAGTCCTCTGTGTATGTTAGTACAGCCAGGATTTATGGGAGTTGCCCTGACACACACTGAGAAAAGAGTGTACATAATAATGACTGGGCTGGAGCAAGATACGAACTAACTCCAAGAAGAACAAGGAAAAACGGAACTTTGTTGACATCACAAACCACAAACAGAATTAATTCCATGAAGCTCCCTGCAGCTCACTTCTGCTTTTAATTTGTCTGAATACAGACCTTAGACTCTTCTAAAGTTTCAAAATGTTGTAGTTGTAAACAGTAATCCCACTGTCGGTGTGGCTGGTAGCTCATGGAGTACTGGAATGACAGCAAAAAGCTAGTTATGAAAGCTTCCTCAATCAATAAACATTCATTTATCCATTAAATGAGAATATTCTGAGACATGTTTTGTTGTATTTCATATTATAGAAAGCAAGGTTAGAGTTAAGTTTTACCTAGTCTGTGTATAGTACAGAGATGTAAACCCCCCCCCCCCACCTATTTGCTAGTCAAAGTCAAACATGCAGAAGTTAGGAAATGCCACAGTCAAGGTTTCCTGTACAATTCAGTCCTCAACTGTGCATGCATCTTAACTCTTTAATAACATGAGCACTTCCTGTTGCTCTGATGCACACCCTGCTCTGTTACCTGTAGCATCCCTGCCATGGTTTCTTTGCACTATATGTAGTACATAAGGTAGGGAGGGGATTGCAAAGAGAAAGGAGAGGCTTAGGGTTAAGGTAGGTAAATATTACCCTGGCTAATTGAATTCTGTCCCTGCCTCTACCTCAACTCCTGTGGGGTATTATACAAATTTAAGATAAACTTCATGGGTTGCTAAGTTGTTTTTTTTTTTTTTTTTTTTTT